TCGATTTAATTTGCATACACTCTTTCTCACTTCCGAATACTAAAAGCTGTTTGCAAGATCTTTATGACACGTGACAACAATAAAAACCGACCGACTTTATGTAACTTTGTTTACCTTTACTTCTTTTTGAATTCTTCATTTATACCGGATGCCTTGAGATGCTCTCTACAGAAGTTTAAATGTTGACTGCTGTAGACGTGGTGGTATGTCGGTCAAGAAGATTGTAAGTGAAGTCGTTTGAAATCGAGGTGAAATGTAGGCGAAGGTTATGTAGACGATGTAGTCTGTATGTTTATGGGATGGAAAAGAGATAGTATGTAGGCTATGTGGTCATGAAGCGAGGTAGTCTGTAGGCGAAGTGTTCTGAAGGCAAAGTGTTCTGTAGGCGAAGTGTTCTGTAGGCAAGGTAGTCTGTAGGCGAAGTGTGCTGTAGGTAAGGTAGTCTGTAGGTGAAGTGTGCTGTAGGCAAGGTGGTCTGCAGGCGAAGTGTTCTGTAGGCGAGGTAGTCTGTAGGCGAAGTGTGATGTAGGCAAGGTAGCCTGTAGGCAAAGTATTCTGTAGGCGAATTGTTCTGTAGACATTGTAGTCTGTAGGCGAAGTGTGTTGTAAGCAAGGTAGTCTGTAGGCGAAGTGTGCTGGAGGCGAGGTAGTTTTGAGGCTATAAGGGATGGAAGCGAGGTGTTCTATAGGGAAAGTAGTGTTTAGGCGAGGTAGTATGTAGGCGAAGTATGATGTAGGCAAGGTAGTCTGTAGGCGAAGTGTGCTGGAGGCGAGGTAGTTTTGAGGCTATAAGGGATGGAAGCGAGGTGTTCTGTAGGGAAAGTAGTGTGTAGGTGAGGTAGCATGTAGGCGAAATATGATGTAGGCAAGGTAGTCTGTAGGCGAAGTGTGCTGGAGGCGAGGTAGTTTTGAGGCTATAAGGGATGGAAGCGAGGTGTTCTGTAGGGAAAGTAGTGTGTAGGTGAGGTAGCATGTAGGCGAAGTATGATGTAGGCAAGGTAGTCTGTAGGCGAAGTGTGCTGGAGGCGAGGTAGTTTTGAGGCTATAAGGGATGGAAGCGAGGTGTTCTGTAGGGAAAGTAGTGTGTAGGCGAGGTAGTATGTAGGCGAAGTATGATGTAGGCAAGGTAGTCTGTAGGCGAAGTGTGCTGGAGGCGAGGTAGTTTTGAGGCTATAAGGGATGGAAGCGAGGTGTTCTGTAGGGAAAGTAGTGTGTAGGCGAGGTAGCATGTAGGCGAAGTATGATGTAGGCAAGGTAGTCTGTAGGCGAAGTGTGCTGGAGGCGAGGTAGTTTTGAGGCTATAAGGGATGGAAGCGAGGTGTTCTGTAGGGAAAGTAGTGTGTAGGCGAGGTAGTATGTAGGCGAAGTATGATGTAGGCAAGGTAGTCTGTAGGCGAAGTGTGCTGGAGGCGAGGTAGTTTTGAGGCTATAAGGGATGGAAGCGAGGTGTTCTGTAGGGAAAGTAGTGTGTAGGCGAGGTAGCATGTAGGCGAAGTATGATGTAGGCAAGGTAGTCTGTAGGCGAAGTGTGCTGGAGGCGAGGTAGTTTTGAGGCTATAAGGGATGGAAGCGAGGTGTTCTGTAGGGAAAGTAGTGTGTAGGCGAGGTAGCATGTAGGCGAAGTATGATGTAGGCAAGGTAGTCTGTAGGCGAAGTGTGCTGGAGGCGAGGTAGTTTTGAGGCTATAAGGGATGGAAGCGAGGTGTTCTGTAGGGAAAGTAGTGTGTAGGTGAGGTAGTATGTAGGCGAAGTATGATGTAGGCAAGGTAGTCTGTAGGCGAAGTGTGCTGGAGGCGAGGTAGGTTTGAGGCTATAAGGGATGGAAGCGAGGTGTTCTGTAGGGAAAGTAGTGTGTAGGCGAGGTAGCATGTAGGCGAAGTATGATGTAGGCAAGGTAGTCTGTAGGCGAAGTGTGCTGGAGGCGAGGTAGTTTTGAGGCTATAAGGGATGGAAGCGAGGTGTTCTGTAGGGAAAGTAGTGTGTAGGCGAGGTAGCATGTAGGCGAAGTATGATGTAGGCAAGGTAGTCTGTAGGCGAAGTGTGCTGGAGGCGAGGTAGTTTTGAGGCTATAAGGGATGGAAGCGAGGTGTTCTGTAGGGAAAGTAGTGTGTAGGCGAGGTAGTATGTAGGCGAAGTATGATGTAGGCAAGGTAGTCTGTAGGCGAAGTGTGCTGGAGGCGAGGTAGTTTTGAGGCTATAAGGGATGGAAGCGAGGTGTTCTGTAGGGAAAGTAGTGTGTAGGCGAGGTAGCATGTAGGCGAAGTATGATGTAGGCAAGGTAGTCTGTAGGCGAAGTGTGCTGGAGGCGAGGTAGTTTTGAGGCTATAAGGGATGGAAGCGAGGTGTTCTGTAGGGAAAGTAGTGTGTAGGTGAGGTAGTATGTAGGCGAAGTATGATGTAGGCAAGGTAGTCTGTAGGCGAAGTGTGCTGGAGGCGAGGTAGGTTTGAGGCTATAAGGGATGGAAGCGAGGTGTTCTGTAGGGAAAGTAGTGTGTAGGCGAGGTAGCATGTAGGCGAAGTATGATGTAGGCAAGGTAGTCTGTAGGCGAAGTGTGCTGGAGGCGAGGTAGTTTTGAGGCTATAAGGGATGGAAGCGAGGTGTTCTGTAGGGAAAGTAGTATGTAGGCGAGGTAGTCCGTTGTAAATCTGAAGGGATTTGTACAAAGTTGCTCTCGATAAATGTCGCTTTCCACTTTTTCCACAATTTTCTTGTTGAGATGCTGGTCAATAGATAATCTAGACAAACAAGACTAGTTTCTCTTCGCCTACCAGTGAAAAAGAAACCCGCTACACTTGTAGAATATTTTCTATATATTTTGGCTAATTATCTTGTAGATCTTATAAAATCTACCACCAAAATTATAAATAAAACATGACACCCTTCAACAAAGATCTCTTTTGACCATAATTTCATTATTCATCATATACTCGTTATGGGGTAAAGCGAAAATAAAAATTCCAAAAATATATATATATATAATGTAGATCAAATACCCTTGCCTTATTCAGGTTTTGAACTTAGGAACTCGATTATTTCGCAACACTTAATGTCATAATGTCTTATTCAATAAAACTAGTAGAAAATATGCTCAAAAGATTTGACAATCTTGGACAAGTAATGCCATTTTCACAAGTTCAGAAAGTCTGTTGGAAGATATTGTCAATAGAAACTCGGTCATTATGATTTCCTTTTCTGTATTCTTTTTTAGTATCAGTTCACAATCGTATATTTGCACCGATGTTCATCCTTTTTTGGGCAATAAAGCTCTCATTACCTGAGAACGAAGGGGTTCTTTCAATTCGTTCATAATTAATTAAACTCGTAAATACATTAAAGTGTCGATACATATCAATGTTTTATGGTTTAAGTTTTTTAAAGCCGGCAGACTTAAGACATGTATACCAAAAATTTGTAAGAGAAAAATCTCCGATGAATGGCGTCTCAGGTCCCTGTATAATCACCATATGTAGAGAAAATGATACTTCTATTTGTGAAGCATAACTTAAATAACGTTTACAAATCTTCACCGGCGACAAGCGTTTCCCAGACGATGAGTAAAGATTAAAATGCCATTGTACAAACGACTATGCTGAGACAAACTGATTTCTTTTTTCCAACACAGATTTTTGCTCAAGGCATTACAAATTAGACTGGCCTACGCTCCATTCAGGACTGTGAACTTGTACACACAGACGTTCGTCTGTTCTTGGAGAAGAACGTAATTTGGAATGGAGCATGGTATTGTGCACAACATCAAAGTCTGATATTGTATTTTTGCCCCAGGGTCGGATGTTCAAGATTGATAAGACTCATTCGACTTTACAAAGCATTATCATCATTTCTGGAGTAACCAGGGTTATTGGTGTCACTTATTCCACTTCAAGGGTATACAGGGTTATTGGTGTCACCTATTCTACTTCAAGGGTATACAGGGTTACTGGTTCACCTATTCCACTTCAAGGGTAAACAGGGTTATTGGTGTCACACAATCCACTTCAACGTAAACAGGGTTATTGGTGTCACTTATTCCACTTCAAGTGTATACAGGGTTATTGGTGTCACAAAATCCTCTTCAAGGGTAAACAGGGTTATTGTTTGTCACTTATTCCATTTCAACATATGCAGGGTTATTGGTTTCATTTATTCCGCTTCAAGGGTATACAGGGTTATTGATTTCACTTATTCCGCTTCAAGGGTATACAGGGTTATTACTGTCACTTATTCCACTTGAAGAGTATATGGGGTAATTGGCCACCATTCCATTTCCGGTGACACTAATGCCACATCTAGAGTGTGCGGGGTTATTGGCCCCCGGTGACAGTAATGTCACGTCTAGAGTGTGCGGGGTTATGGGCCCCCGGTGACTAATGCCACGTCTTGAGTGTGCGGGGTTATTGGCCCCCGGTGACACCAATTCAACGTCTAGAGTGTGCGGGGTTATTGGCTTCCGGTGACACAGACTCCTGACCTGGAATATATATGACTATCAGTGTTTCTATTTTTTTTTCTTGGGTAAACAATGCTATCATTGTCATCACAAAAAACCCTGACTCATTTAGTGTCAGGAATACAATTTAATACAACGAAGCAAACTTAAGCCTGAATCTATTAGTTGTCTTTGTTTGGATCGTATTTGTGTTGCCTGTGTTGTAAAACTATTCTGTTTGTTTGTAATTTTATCGTCCATTAAACAACCAGGATAACTTTGAAGCATGGGTCTTCTTATAGTTTATTATAGTGACTGGTGAATACTTTACTGAACATCATCTGGGAGGCCCATCTCACGTTATCAGTATCAATGTAAAATGGACATAACCATATACCAGTACATGACGGTTGTGATCTCATCTACCGGAAAAACACCATGCCCACGTTGGGATCGAACCACATACCTGGTGACCGCTGACATCAAAATAGTGATGGAATAAACAAATTGATCTCACAAGACATGTTGCAAATATATATAAATTATTTGTGATGTTTTTTATTGTTGTTTTAGATTGTTGGCCAGCACCTGACCCTCCTTATCTCCCACAAGACCTTTCCGCTCCTGATTCCCCTGTTGATATTCAGCGGGCTTCAGCAAGGTTTCATATTCGCCGATTTCACAAAGGTAAGTCATTTTAGTAATATTATTAATTACTTTGTTTATAATATCTGATACTATTACCTCAACAGATCAAATAATAGGAAGGCAATATTATACCATTCTGGTACAATGGTAGTTTCCTTCTATTGTTCTGTACAAATTTCTCAGTAACATGTAAACTTGTCGGTTGTTTATTTAAATAAACGACAAACCTCTAATTTATGTTACTTGGATGAAAGTCTGAACACACTGGACGGAGTTTTCTCATTGGTCGGTTTTATACATTAAACGGAGCATTCTCATTGGTCGGTTATAAACATTGAACGGAACCTTCACACTGGTTAGTTACAAATATTGAACGGAGCCTTCTCATTGGTCGGTTAGAAATATTGAACGGAGCCTTCTCATTGGCCGGTATATAAATTAACGCAAGAGTCTCTTTGTTCTGGTTATAGAAATTATATCCAATCTTGTGATGACTTTTTCTGGTGTTTTTTTTTTTCATTTTACAAATGAAGTAAATTGTATAGTATGTTAAGCATATGTTATCAATGTTATTCTCTACTATATTTAGGCAACATATCCTGTATTATCTTTCCTAATTATCGTATCCTCTGATATCTTTCCTAATTATCGTATCCTCTATTATCTTTCCTAATTATCGTATCCTCTATTATCTTTCCTAATTATCGTATCCTCTGATATCTTTCCAAATTATCGTATCCTCTGATATCTCTCCAAATTATCGTATCCTGTATTATCTTTCCTAATTATCGTATCCTCTATTATCTTTCCTAATTATCGTATCCTCTATTATCTTTCCTAATTATCGTATCCTCTGATATCTTTCCAAATTATCGTATCCTCTGATATCTCTCCTAATTATCGTATCCTCTATTATCTTTCCTAATTATCGTATCCTCTGATATCTCTCCTAATTATCGTATCCTCTCTTTCCTAATTATCGTATCCTCTGATATCTTTCCTAATTATTGTATCCTCTGATATCTTTCCTAATTATCGTATCCCTTTTTATCTTTCCTAATTATCGTATCCCTTTTTATCTTTCCTAATTATCGTATCCTCTGATATCTGTCCTAATTATCGTATCCTCTGATATCTTTCCTAATTATCGTATCCTGTATTATCTTTCCTAATTATCGTATCCTCTTTTATCTTTCCTAATTATTGTATCCTCTGATATCTTTCCTAATTATCGTGTCCTCTTTTATCTTTCCTAATTATCGTATCCTCTGATATCTGTCCTAATTATCGTATCCTCTGATATCTTCCTAATTATCGTATCCTCTATTATCTTTCCTAATTATCGTATCCTCTTTTATCTTTCCTAATTATCGTATCCTCTGATATCTTTCCTAATTATCGTATCCTCTGATATCTCTCCTAATTATCGTATCCTCTGATATCTCTCCTAATTATCGTATCCTCTGATATATCTCCTAATTATCGTATCCTCTATTATCTTTCCTAATTATCGTATCCTCTGATATCTCTCCTAATTATCGTATCCTCTATTATGTTCCTAATTATCGTATCCTGATATCTCTCCTAATTATCGTATCCTCTATTATCTTTCCTAATTATCGTATCCTCTGATATCTCTCCTAATTATCGTATCCTCTATTATGTTCCTAATTATCGTATCCTCTATTATGTTCCTAATTATCGTATCCCTTTTTATCTTTCCTAATTATCGTATCCCTTTTTATCTTTCCTAATTATCGTATCCTCTGATATCTGTCCTAATTATCGTATCCTCAGATATCTTTCCTAATTATCGTATCCTCTGATATCTCTCCTAATTATCGTATCCTCTGATATCTGTCCTAATTATCGTATCCTCTGATATCTTTCCTAATTATCGTATCCTCTGATATATCTCCTAATTATCGTATCCTCTGATATATCTCCTAATTATCGTATCCTCTATTATCTTTCCTAATTATCGTATCCTCAGATATCTTTCCTAATTATCGTGTCCTCTGATATCTGTCCTAATTATCGTATCCTCTGATATCTCTCCTAATTATCGTATCCTCTTTTATCTTTCCTAATTATCGTATCCTCTGATATCTCTCCTAATTATCGTATCCTCTTTTATCTTTCCTAATTATCGTATCCTCTGATATCTTTCCTAATTATCGTGTCCTCTGATATCTGTCCTAATTATCGTATCCTCTTTTATCTTTCCTAATTATTGTATCCTCTGATATCTGTCCTAATTATCGTATCCTCTGATATCTCTCCTAATTATCGTATCCTCTTTTATCTTTCTTTTATCTTTCCTAATTATCGTATCCTCTGATATCTCTCCTAATTATCGTATCCTCTTTGATCTTTCCTTATTATCGTATCCTCTGATATCTTTCCTAATTATCGTGTCCTCTGATATCTGTCCTAATTATCGTATCCTCTTTTATCTTTCCTAATTATTGTATCCTCTGATATCTTTCCTAATTATCGTATCCTCTGATATCTTTCCTAATTATCGTATCCTCTGATATCTTTCCTAATTATCGTATCCTCTTTTATCTTTCCTAATTATCGTATCGTATCTGTTTTATCTTTCCTAATTATCGTATCTCTTTTATCTTTCCTAATTATTGTATCCTCTGATATCTTTCCTAATTATCGTGTCCTCTTTTATCTTTCCTAATTATCGTATCCTCTGATATCTGTCCTAATTATCGTATCCTCTATTATCTTTCCTAATTATCGTATCCTCTGATATCTTTCCTAATTATCGTATCCTCTTTTATCTTTCCTAATTATCGTATCCTCTATTATCTTTCCTAATTATTGTATCCTCTGATATCTTTCCTAATTATCGTATCCTCTGATATCTTTCCTAATTATCGTATCCTCTTTTATCTTTCCTAATTATTGTATCCTCTGATATCTTTCCTAATTATCGTATCCTCTATTATCTTTCCTAATTATCGTGTCCTCTTTTATCTTTCCTAATTATCGTATCCTCAGATATCTTTCCTAATTATCGTATCCTCTGATATTTTTCCTAATTATCGTATCCTCTGATATCTGTCCTAATTATCGTATCCTCTGATATCTGTCCTAATTATCGTATCCTCAGATATCTTTCCTAATTATCGTATCCTGTATTATCTTTCCTAATTATCGTATCCTCTATTATCTTTCCTAATTATCGTATCCTCTGATATCTCTCCTAATTATCGTATCCTCAGATATCTTTCCTAATTATCGTATCCTGTATTATCTTTCCTAATTATCGTATCCTCTGATATCTTTCCTAATTATCGTATCCTCTGATATCTCTCCTAATTATCGTATCCTCTGATATCTGTCCTAATTATCGTATCCTCAGATATCTTTCCTAATTATCGTATCCTGTATTATCTTTCCTAATTATCGTATCCTCTGATATCTTTCCTAATTATCGTATCCTGTATTATCTTTCCTAATTATCGTATCCTCTATTATCTCTCCTAATTATCGTATCCTCTGATATCTCTCCTAATTATCGTATCCTCTGATATCTCTCCTAATTATCGTATCCTCTGATATCTCTCCTAATTATCGTATCCTCTATTATCTTTCCTAATTATCGTATCCTCTGATATCTTTCCTAATTATCGTATCCTCTGATATCTCTCCTAATTATCGTATCCTCTATTATCTTTCCTAATTATCGTATCCTCTGATATCTTTCCTAATTATCGTATCCTCTGATATCTCTCCTAATTATCGTATCCTCTGATATCTCTCCTAATTATCGTATCCTCTATTATCTTTCCTAATTATCGTATCCTCTGATATCTTCCTAATTATCGTATCCTCTGATATCTTTCCTAATTATCGTATCCTCTGATATCTCTCCTAATTATCGTATTCTCTGATATCTCTCCTAATTATCGTATCCTCTGATATCTTTCCTAATTATTGTATCCTCTGATATCTTTCTTATTATCGTATCCTCTGATATCTTTCCTAATTATCGTATCCTCTTTTATCTTTCCTAATTATCGTATCCTCTAATATCTTTCCTAATTATAGTATCCTCTGATATCTTTCCTAATTATCGTATCCTCTGATATCTTTCCTAATTATCGTATCCTCTTTTATCTTTCCTAATTATTGTATCCTCTGATATCTTTCCTAATTATCGTATCCTCTATTATCTTTCCTAATTATCGTGTCCTCTTTTATCTTTCCTAATTATCGTATCCTCAGATATCTTTCCTAATTATCGTATCCTCTGATATTTTTCCTAATTATCGTATCCTCTGATATCTGTCCTAATTATCGTATCCTCTGATATCTGTCCTAATTATCGTATCCTCAGATATCTTTCCTAATTATCGTATCCTGTATTATCTTTCCTAATTATCGTATCCTCTATTATCTTTCCTAATTATCGTATCCTCTGATATCTGTCCTAATTATCGTATCCTCAGATATCTTTCCTAATTATCGTATCCTGTATTATCTTTCCTAATTATCGTATCCTCTGATATCTTTCCTAATTATCGTATCCTCTGATATCTCTCCTAATTATCGTATCCTCTGATATCTGTCCTAATTATCGTATCCTCAGATATCTTTCCTAATTATCGTATCCTGTATTATCTTTCCTAATTATCGTATCCTCTGATATCTTTCCTAATTATCGTATCCTGTATTATCTTTCCTAATTATCGTATCCTCTATTATCTCTCCTAATTATCGTATCCTCTATTATCTTTCCTAATTATCGTATCCTCTATTATCTTTCCTAATTATCGTATCCTCTGATATCTTTCCTAATTATCGTATCCTCTGATATCTCTCCTAATTATCGTATCCTCTGATATCTCTCCTAATTATCGTATCCTCTATTATCTTTCCTAATTATCGTATCCTCTGATATCTTCCTAATTATCGTATCCTCTGATATCTTTCCTAATTATCGTATCCTCTGATATCTCTCCTAATTATCGTATTCTCTGATATCTCTCCTAATTATCGTATCCTCTGATATCTTTCCT